CGCGCAAATCAGGCTACCTCAAGGAAAAACCCTGCAAATGAAAAGCATCCCCCTGGACCGTCATGACAGGAAGCAGACCAGTATGCTCCAGAGGCCCATCGAAAGCATGGACTCAAACCCGTCGTACAACTATTAAGTCTGTTAACCTCCCTGGTCACACAACCCTCCGCTTCTCACCCTCTGAGGCAGCGGAGGCAGTGTTGAAATGCTTGTCCACAAACTGCCTCAGCCTTTTCAGCAAACGGCGATAATAAACGGCCAGGTTGCCTTAAACAACCATCCACAATAGCACGCACAGATGCCCGGCTCACACCAGACGTCTCTGACGCGGGAGCCTCACTAGAACTCTACTCTGTTTCTCGAGCTGACAAAACCAGAGGGGCTAGTGAGGGTGCTGTATACTTACACGCAGTCCTACCCACCCCGATTGTCCCCTTTCATACCACTCCGCACTTTTTTGCGATGCACTGTGGATTCAAATTACAATGTGCTGGTTTGATTTTCTCCTTCTCGGGGTAGTCTACTGTCGCCCATCGAGTGCTCCAGAAGATGACCAGTTCCTTATACGAACACCTGAACAACTCTCATCTAACTACTACTTCATTCACCACCTGCCTGCGGGCGTCTTCAGTGCTCCCCAGGCCTCATGGATGGAGCTCGGTTGCGTCGGTTCGAGTGAATATTTTGCAGCTGCGTTGACCAAAGTCATTCAGTAGAACGCTTGGACACATGCCGATGCACCCACCAGATACCACACAAGCCGATTACCATCCCTCCTGGATTTGGTCACCACCACCAAAATCACTTCTTTCATCAGGTGATAAATAGCGCTCCACCAGGACATAGCGACCGCAGTGTGTTGACCTTTGGTTTCATCTGCTTTTAGGCCGGAAGTTCCGATCCTGAAACGTGGTTTTGAAACTTCTGTCGTGAGGACTTTTCAGGAATGCACATCATTCTTGAGCGAGTTTAACCGAGGCCAGCTTCAGTGGAAGAAGTATAAACGACAAGTGTCCAGAAAGTTCTTCCCTAAAAAGTCAGCACGTAGTTGGATGATGCGCAAGGCTACCTAAAGGGATTCCGCGTCTTCTGTAAAAGCGGCCTCAACTATTTTTCATAAAGTTGACCGCATTAGACAGAAGAATGCCGCTGGCTATTTGCACAATGAGATTGATTTCTCGAAATCCAAGGGAATTTTCAGACTTGACACTTCATAGTGTAGAATGTCTGTATAATGTATATGCTCCTGCATTATTGAAAATCATTTAATATGACGATTTATTTAAGTGTACGAATTCTCAAGGTCAATAAACACCACCGACTGTGAATACGTTACCTGATGATAAAAAATCGCGAATTGTGGAAAACGTTGACTCACATACAATGAACGTAACCTTCAGGTATTTTTCCACCGGAACAAATTTCCTCAACATTCTAGAATCTAAATGGCCTTTGGAGATGCAGCATATGCGTAGGCGCATTCGTGCAAACAAATTTTGGTCGATGATTCTTTTTGCCAGTTAAAATTCCGTAGTGCACGTTAATTATTTCCTAAACGTCGTGCACGTTTGCTGACAAACACCGGAGTTTTCCGTTATAGATTGCGAAATATGCTAGGAAGACCTCGAGGTAGTGTTGATTTGCCGTTGAAGTCCTGAAATGACAGGGAGATATAATTCAGGTTAGCAAAATATCACCATAAGGCGGGCGACCGACAAACTGGTAGAGTTACTTACCCCAAAATTCACTGCAGCGCCTATGCTGTCGTGGATGCCTGTTCACACAATGCCATCTTCGGCGGTTATTTCGCATGCCTGTTTACTTCACCTCTCAAGAAATACGAGACTTACATGTAATGCATAAGACCTCATTAACAGACAAACTTTTCGGAGCCAGTGGGTCACATGAAATCATCTTCGTCCCTTTCATCTAGCTGGCGCTCTACAGAGTTCGTCGTAGTTGTCAGACATTGACTCACGGCTGTCGAGTAATTCTTGTGTGAACCCGAAAACACGGACGCACACAGATTTACGGGACACTGTGCTGGGAATCTGTGCTTCGGTCCAGGTCAACATCATAAGATGCCCCCTTTGCGGAACGGGTAGCAAGCACACCTCTGCGTTTTCGGGATCGGCCCGAAGCTAAGAACAAAAAGTGATTTATTTTCATGTGGACTCACATTTGAGACAAGCCTGAAGAGGCGTCACCCTCCAGGATTTGCCGCCTGTCGCAGTGGTACGACGTATGCATCTCAAACTCGGCTCCGAAATGAACCATTCTGGACTGCGCGAGTATGGCCCATTTTCGGGTGACGTACAACCAGCGAGCCGTCAGATAGGAGAGAAATCGGGGATCTGTTCGGCGCAGAAGCTGTATATCTTGTCGGAATCTGTGTGCTTGTGATATGCTGAACATAAAACCTACTGTACAGCATTATCCAGGCGAGCCATGCCGTAAAATATGTGCCGGCTTTCCGCAGAATGTGTCTTTGACCAAAAATACGTGGATATTAAATGATACCTACGTGCTTCCTGATGGCTTTGCGGACATAAAGGTAGCAAAGCATGACGTCACAGCCGAACACAACTCTTGCCGCACGCATTTGCGCCGCAAACTTGTCCATTACAAAGGTCCTGACCGGATATGCTTCGCCCAACATTTCTTTGAATAAGCCGAACAGTTTTCGCATGGGAGCAAAGTGCTCGCTCTCTACGAGCGCATACATAACCGGACGCCCGGTTCCCATGCCGTCCGTTATCAAGAATGTGTATACTTTATATCTAAATGCCGAATATTAGATGCTTTAAAAAACTTACCCAAGGCGGTTTGTTGCACGTGTCCCGTCCACATTTACTACTTCTTGAAAGCGTCCGAATGACGCTATCTGCTGCCATAGGGGGAAACATATGTGGCTATAGTGACCTTCCTCTCCCCGACACACAAGGACACGTCCGGTCTCCCGAAGTTTTGCCAGGACCGAAGGCATATCATCTGCTACATTAAAACCCAACCATTCGGCACCTACTCAACATAGCCGGTCGACACTTCCGGCGGTAGTTGTGTATATCCTTAGTTGTAAGAATCTTTCCGAATTCATCCACCACAAACTGTCGCACCTCAGATGACGGCGTTCCATATCTCAGCAGGGCCTGGCATGTGCCCAACTCGCATGCCGTCCGTTATCAAAAATGTGTACAGTTTATATCTAAATGCCGAATATTAGATGCTCTAAAAAACTTACCCAAGGCGGTTTGTTGCGTGTGTCCCGTCCACAGTCACTAAATCTGGAAAGCGTCGGAATAACGCCATCTGCTGCCATCGGGAGAAACATATGGAGCTATAGTGAACTTCCTCTGCTCGACACACAAGGGCGCGTCCGGTCTCCCGAAGTTTTGCAAGGACCGAAGGCATATCATCTGCTACATTAAAACCCAACCATTCGACACCTACTCAACATAGCCGGTCGACACATCCAGCGGTAGTTGTGTATATCCTTAGTGGTAAGAATGTTTCCAATTTCATCCGCCACAAACTGCCGCACCTCAGATGACGGCAGGGTCTTGCATGTGCCCAACTCGTCTTCGGTTATGCGTCGATTGACTGGAAGCCGATCATACAGAAACTTCGACAGTTTGTGGTTGTGTTCCAGAAAATAAGTGGTCACTGCCGGTTGGTTCCTTTGCCTCCGTAGACAAAACCGCACTGGACAGCTGGTGCTTCCCGTACTTTGTTATTAGAAAACACGCTCGGTTTATCAGCTTCTTCGGATTCCACGGCTTTCCGTTGGTCTTGGTGGGCGCTGCTGCATTTGTAGTAGACCCATTCGTAACGCAAAATAGCGTTGGTGCCTCGACAACTGGATGAACGCACAAGTACCACAAAGTTATCCTTCATCTATTCATTTAAGGTCTTCTCAAATGCCGTGAAGGATGGAAACGATACACCCACAAATTAACCAACGAAAGTCACTTCCGAGGCCATAGCACGCGAAGCAGAATGTGCGCCAATAATTTTCAAAAGAGATCAATTGAAACAAATCGCAAAAAATGACGGTAGATGAAGGGGGTTTTTAGACTGAGAACAAATGCAAGGAAGCGCATCATTTTGAGGTTAAGGTTTTTATTTCACCCGCAGGGGTTTTGCAGAAAATTTCATTGTGCGTCGAGGCGTTAACCAGAAGGATAGCTTGAATTTCGTGAAATGCAGAACCACTGTAGAACAGAAATCAACCAATTAAGCATAGGGAAATAAGTCACTATTCAGGAGCTTACCCGGAAAAGCAGAAATGTGCTGTCCAAATGCGCGACATGTTGCCGCAGAAACAGGCCGTCCGCGTTCTGCCTGAGGGACAGAAGCGGGGAACTCATGCGTGACCCAATAGTGGTATCTGGGGTTTATGTAGAACACTATATGGGTCTATATTTAGCGGCAGTGTCCTCGTCATATCCAATCCCATCAACGCGTAACTACGGACAGCCTCCAACCGACTTGGTCTTCACATTTGTGGTTATCCGTCAACTCCGTCAAGATCAGCCTATTGTGCCTGTTGGCGCTCGACGAGGTTTATCCAAGCATTTCAAAGGAAGCTTCGTCCTCACTGGCAGATCATTTGTACCTTGTATGCCGTCGGTCGCTTCACGAAGGCCGCCTGCCCTCTGTTTGGAGGGAAGCGATTGTCACGCCAATCTGCAAAATTGGTACCCAGATATCGCCTTGAGGCTGCAGGCCTATGAGTCTCGCTAGTGTGCCTTTCAAGGTGATGGAATGCAATTTTAAGCGAGCTTTCCTAGATTCCCTTACTTCCAACAACTTGATGTTCCCAGTTCAGCACGGATTTCTCCCAGTGTTCTTGCGTGTCGAATATGCTCGTGGTTACTGACATCTTAGCCCAAGCCTAGGACGGGAGATTCATTTTGGACGCCATATTTTTTGACTACTCAAAAGCATTCCCACACATCCCATTGCTCCACGAACTCGTGTCTTTCGGGATTTGAGGGAGTATGCTTCCTTTGTTCAAAGCGGTCCTCGCAGACCGGTCATTCCGAGTGAAGGTAGGTTCCATCTACTCTTCTCCAGCGCCGGTCTCCATTGAAGTTCCTCAAGGCTGCGTTCTTGGACCACTGCTGTTTCCGATGTGACCTCCCAGATGTTCATGCAGGTCTATGCCCACATTTTGTGGGGAACTTGCAATCCTTGAGTTCCGGCGCCAGTGCCCTCCAAATTGATATAGATGCTCAAAGCAGTGGTCGTTAGACTATCACCTTCCTCTGAAACGGGAAAATTCAACCATATGTCATCCGGAGGAGACTCAGCGAATGCCTTTGAGAATAACAATAATGTATGTTCCCAACTTGTGGGTGGCATACCGTCTAGCATTATCATGCGTTTACAGTCAGGTTTGGGTATGATAGGGGGATTTGCGGGTAGTGGGGACTGTGCGAAAGGGGACAATGTCCTAAACAAAGGGAGGCACTCGATTAAATAATAATGTTTCTTTTGCAACTTGTAGGGAACAACAGGCATGGGGTCCGACCAATTCAAGACTCAGTTATGCATTGTGAGAATTGACCAGAAGACATTGTAGTGGATAATCCTAGCAAATACCAGTTCAAAGTAGTTAAATCAAGTTCGTTGGTACAGTTAGTTATTACCACCACAATAAATCCAAATCGATCTCCTTCCTGGAATCTTCCTTGACATATTCCTAGATACTTGCTATCCCGTCGTAGTCTGAAGGGTAGATCACCGCTCGTTAATTCACTGACAGCGTAACTCGACACAGCAAGAAGGGAACACGGCTTTCACGAGGATAGACGCCAAAAAGGATTTGGCTATCTGATTCTCTTCAAACGTGCCTTCTGATTGCACGATGAGAAATCGGCCTAAAAGGCGTTCGCCGTTTTACGGGTGATTCGGTGCATTTTCTCCCGTGTAACCCGCACGAAGTTATAAATACTCTTTGGGGCCTACGTCGGGGAGCACTTTTCCTATACCAACCAAGTTGTCTATTGGGGGCGCACCTCAGACGTAACTCTCACTAAGCAGGTCCAGCGATCCGGTCTCAATCGGTGGACTACGTAACATGTCTCGCGTTGCTTGACCTTTTCTCCTGCGGTATCGTCGCCTCCAAGGGGACCTAATTCTTACGTATGCCCTGTTTAAGCAAGGCTTGGCCAACAGGTTTTTCGCCGTTGACCCAGCAAACACGTCATGCACATGGTGAACTCAGTTCAAAGCACTACTAGGCACTTATTTATGCGAATCCTCACGCTGGTAAGCATACTGCCCCGCGCCGAGAACATAAAGAGCAGTGCTACACCCTTTATTCACTTATGCCTTTCAGGTGAACAACAGCCACTGACCGACAAGAAAAAGACCGACCCGGGAAACTCGGGCGAAAGCCTCGATCCTTTGTATCAATCCGTGAATCCGTGAGCTCGTCGCACGCGGTTTCGATCAACTTCCGTTTGAAAGACGCGCGTCACACCAAATGAAATTTCTTTGATGCACCACTATTTTGATATTACTGGGCTTTGTATAAAACAGTCTGTTTTGCCACATTACAATGTGTATGGCGTCACAGGTTGTTTGCACAAGTACACATCATCTGGCTAGGTCACTGATGAAGCGGCTTGCGTTACCCGTCGTGCTCTTTTTCCTTGGTTGGGTCTCGGGGTTGAAAAACCTCGATGTAACTCGAGTTATTGATTTGGAGAGTTCTGTAGTTCGGGTCGAACACGCAATTACACTTGACGAGCCCACTGATGACTATGAATTCCATATTCATCCCTCCGAGACTGACCATGTGTCCAGTGTGTCTGCTTGGGTTAGTCCTGTAGTCTAGTTTGTTTACTTTATTGTAGCATGGGAAGAACAAAGACGCATTGGAGGTTCGACTTGCGGCTGGAAAGTCAAACGTTTACCGGATCGGTGTAAAGAAGTCCTCAACCCCAATTCAATTCACAGTTGCTGTCGTTCTCACCAATGTTCTAGAGCCGAAGCCAGCAGAAGTCTTGCAGGCTCAGAGTCAGTTTGTTAAGTACACTGGAAACGTGATGTTCTTCACACCGTATACGACTGAAAGACAGAAAACGACGGTGGTTTTGCCACAGGGTGAACTTCTGAGGTATACATCTGCACCTGAACCTATAACGAAACAGCCACGCAAACTGGAGTATGGCCCATATGAAGGAATAGGCGCATTCACGCACGTGGGTTGCTCACCATTCGATTCATGTTCGTTAACAGATACCTCTGCATGTCCACTTCGAAAACAACAAGCCTTTCTTGACGGTTAAGAAAATGACCAGACTAATTGAGATTTCTCACTGGGGGAACATCGCCGTGGAAGAGTCTTTAGAAATTCAGAATACGGGTGCAAAACTCAAAGGACCATTTTCTAGACTGGATTTCGACATGGGAGTTGGTCAACGGGTCGCTATTTCCTCGTTCAAGACTGCGTTACCGGCCGCGGCAAGAGATATTTACTACAGGGACGATATTGGCAACATCAGCACAAGCGCGGTCGCGGAGACGCTAGATGCCTTAGAAGTCCGCCTGTCCCCAAGGTTTCCGTTGCTTGGTGGGTGGAAAACCGAGTATATCCTGGGGTACAACGTGCCGGCTCATCAGTTCCTCTACCGAACCGGTACGTTCAGATTTGGTAATACCCTTCGTTACTACGTAACTTGCTTATACCTACATCAGCCTAATGCCCGTTTATGAAAATCTCACCTCCCGTTATCTAATCCCAACTGGTTAAAAGTAGGACATTTATGTATCCGCAGTTTACATGAACCACTGGCAAAATTGCCACGGTTTTTGGATCAAATGGAATTCTAAAAAGTACGAACGAAGTGTGTGCATGGTGATGAAGGTATTGCGATTGGATTGTTGTTCGAGTGTCCCGGTGTTTTTTGTTGTTGCAGGCGATATGTGCTAGACGCAGCCTTTCGTAAGCAATTGGGATGACTGGACCAAGGGTAATAGGAATGTCAGACCATTTTTGCTCATATTCGTTCTCTCTTTCCTTTTTCTCACTTTTGATCCAGATGCGCGAGAAGAGCTTACTTTTGGGTCATTCTGATTTCTTAGGTACCCCAATTGCCGAAGACGAGGTTGGTTGGTGAGTGGATCCATGCACTGTGAGCTATGGAAGTGCCTACGGTGCTGTGTCTGGAGAAGTGGAGGCATCGTAAGCTAGAATAAGGTCACCTTTCACTAGTCTGAATGTGTCCTGCCTCATTTGCTAATCAGGGTGACCAGCCTCGAAATAGATGCCGGTCGGACTAAAGGGAAGACGCCCAAGACGGAACCTTATCACAGAACAATCAGTAATTAAACCAGACTCCAACCATTGGTCCGGCAACTGGTCACCGGAAGGGTGTTAAAGCTGAACGATTATCACAATAATCATCATATCATTACTAAGACTAGTTTGTGAACCGAGTTGGGCTAACTTCGGCGATGATTTGCTTGATGAGCGTACCAGGTAACTCGCACCGGTGATATGGGTTCCAGTGCGGCTGTATCACACCCACGTAAGTTTAATTGGGTGCCCGTTTGATGGCTCGTACCGACCTTGTACGGCAGTGAAGCATCAGTGCCAACACTTATGTTGCTGTCATTGATGATGATGATGATGATCGTACCGACCTTACAGATAACCTGAGCGTTGGTTGTTTTTATTGGTGAACACTGTGAAGCCTAATAAGCAGGGGTCGCTCCGGACCCAACTGAACATGACCCCTGGTGGCATTCGATTCAAGACTGCCACTTTTAGTTTGTGCAGTCCTACTCCAACCATGCCGTGGCGCATCTCGCCCGAGGCTTCGTCCCCTCAGATACACATGCGTGCGCTTGGCCGGAGACATTGAAGAAACGGCGGCTGATCGAAGTTGGTGGTACTGTCCGTTTCATTTAAGGTTGTCTGTGTGCCCTGAGGTGTGAACACCTCAGCATGCCTGCGTTAGGCCAGCACCAGGTACCCTCCACCCATTCTTTTTTCTTCTTTTCACTCGAAGACCTTAAATATAGTTAGATGACCTTTATGGTTGTTCTTCAGTGAATCGTTAATCAGCACTGGTGTTGAGTTTTGCTATATGCATGAGACAGTGACCCAACCGATGTGGCATTAGACCGTTTGCTGTGGTGAAATTTGTGGTTTAAGAACGCCCAGATCGTTCAGCCTTTGCGCCCTTTCGGTGCCTAACTTTCATGTCACTAGATGGAAGCACGAGGGCTGGGACGCTGCCAGATTGCCCAAGCCTAGACAAGGGAAGTCGAGAGGCAGAGGTCAAGTTCGAAGCACAGACCTTCCAATCACTAAATTCGCGCCCTAACGACAGCCACCTCGCCTCCTACGATCGCCCAAGCATACAAAGGGCGATTGGAATACTGAGTAAAAGTTCTGGCGTCATCAAAACAGAAATATCAGTGTTGACAAGGATTCTTTACCGTGTGGCCACAAGGCTTATCATATTTGTAGCCGTAAGTGGAAATAAGTGAAGTGTATGAGGGAGGGAACCTGGTGCCGCCCTGTCGTAAACATTCTTAGGTGACTACATCTCCAAGCGCTCAATCAGACAATCTGGAAAGAAGCTGACAGTACAAACTATGAGCCGCCATTTCTTTCAATGTCTAACCAGGCGTGGGGGCCACTGTCATGGGGACCCGATTCTGGAAGGTGAACCACACAAAGAGCACCTGAACTCTTCGTAATCTTTTTCATTTCTACCTGCTTTGCACCATTCTGAAAGACGCACGGAGTTCAACACTAGTCTCGGTAGACGATTTCCGCATGTGTAAAACATGAGTGAGCCACCACAGTTGATGATTCTGGATGTTTTCCGCGGCTGAAGCACGTGCTGAACAATCTAATGCCCTTTACAGTTTCGGCTCAAAATTTAACCACAAGGTAGCGGTGTTCGGTGCATGGCCACCACAGTCCAGCTTCTAGTCGACATGTCGCCGCACAAGCCCAAACACCATACCAGAGACTGCAGCTGGCCAACTTGGTATGGAACTGCGAATGGCTACTCCAACACGCACAATCCCTCGCAATCTGACGGTCCGGTCTTGTCTTGCCAAACAGAACACGTGTAGGAATGGATAACGTTGTCCTCACGTGAGAGGTCTTCCCAGTGTGAATTCGGCAGTTTCATTGAGGGTGCTCCCCAAACATTTTGCCACGAACTTCTGTATCTAGTCGTCAGTCCTTGTATGGGTTCTCTCTGCCGAGAGCGAGGTTCACATGAACGGACTGCATGCGGGCATTCCCAGTACTAGATAAGTTTGCTCGCTTGGTTAGACTTTCCTCTTTATTGTGGGGGGGGGGCGGGGCGAGATGGACCAAGTGGTTAGAGCACGAATTTACTGATCGGAAGGTGTGTGGTTCGGACCCGACCTCAGCCTCTCGACTCCCCCTGTCTAGGCTCGGGCAACCTGACAATATACCAGCCCTCGTGCTTCCTTCAGTGGCATGGCAGTTAGGCACCGAAAGGGTGCTACATCTGAACCCGTTTTTCGTGTGCTAGGTAGGTGATTTAGGGAGTTGATGGAATTTATTCTACCGCGTTTGAAGGTCTAAGTACTTGAGTTCGGAATCTCACGGTAGAAGACAAAGGACACCGAGTGAAGATTGTTTATACTGCGGATGAATCAATGGGATAAAAAACTGCGGCTCAGTTGGGCTGCGACAGCAAAATTGAAATCTCAGTGCAATATTCGTTAGGACCTGACCGTCCTTGCAATTTGCATGACAGCCATCAAGGCGGAAATATAACATCTGGTTTGATTTGTTTGCGACGTTTGGATGTTCTGTCGNGGTGGGGTGCATTCGTTTTCAGGAATGCCTGAATACCTTATCATACGTACGCCTATTTGCATGTCATCCGAACCACACAATGGTTCCAAAAGTATACTGACATCTAAACAAAGCATAGTCATTACTCTAAAAGTCGTCTTTCATTTACGTCAAATGTGTGCGACAGTGTTGTACATCTGCTGGCGATAACGGTGATAAGCGTATCAATTAAGTGCACGTCGACTACAAAAGTCCCAGCCCTTTAAATTGATTCTCCCAACTACACCGAATAAGCATGATGGCTCATTCCTCTGCGACCTGGGAATGTTCCAACTTAGCGGTTCTTACAACTAACCTAGAAGCTTCACTATTTACCAAAATACACGTAGGTTGTTTAAAGGCCAGTATATACGTGGATGGTTCTGTCTGTTCATGTTGGACAGATGAACCATTTAACTGGTTAGGCCATCGCCTTCAACTCATGACCGTCATCCGCTTGTTCGCCCTATCTTCGGTGAACGAAACGGTAGGTGTTGGAACCGCTGAACTTGTGTACACCATTGAAAGCTGAAAAACTGAACCAATATACATAAATGTCCGAGCTGATAGTAATTTATTCGTGGTTTATCTCACTCGACCTCCTCACTAGAGCTTCAGTTGATCTTTCCAGCTAAAATTACTGTGTTCCGAAGCTGTTGGCGACAAACTGTACATCCAGTTGGTCGAAACGCTGCATGAATGGCCCGTCAGTCCGAGGGTGCATTTGACATACGTGCCTATAAAACATGGATATTCCACTTGGTCGCCCCGCGTATCCGCGTGCAAAACGATGGGGAACTCAACCACCATTGACCTAAACTTGTCCACTACAGTTTATGAAGGTTGCACTTGGGAGCACTCGACTGTTCGAAAGCACGCGTTTGGAATTACGAGGTAAAGCGGGCCTTCATGTCGAAAGTTTAGTGTAGTACTGGCTGCCCCGCGTCAATACGAACGCGCTACCAACTCTAGTGTATATACCAGTGTTGAGTGATCCCTGTAGATTTTTTGGTAAATCGTGTTCCTGTTGGGTGCCTTTCCACCACAGCAGAAAGATTTGATTTGCGTTGTACTCAGTACGACAGTGAAGCATCGGTGTTGCAAACTGATGTCATGCTGTCGACGGTGATGATGATGTACTCAGTAATTATAGCCTATTTCAGTGAAAACTACTGCTGTGTGATACCCTTAGCAGAATGTCCTTTTTGGACAGACCTGTTCCCCCGGTATTTATGTTCTCATTCTCAATAATTTATACTACCTGGTTAGTTCTGGATGTACTGTTTTTGACTTTCCGTTGGGTTACTGTGTATTGAGATGCGTCCTTTGTACACATCCTAAAAAAGTGTATTTCAATGTGTTTCAATTTGTAGGCTCCAAATTCACACTGCGGATGCGTATCGTGGACCACATCTATGATGACCAAGTTGTTGAGCATCTAACTTTGAAGATTGTTCTGCCGGAAATGGTTTCCGACATAGAATTCATTCCGCCTTTCTCTGTAACTGAGCAACCGCGAGAGGTTTTGAAGACATATTTGGATACCGTAGGGCGGACCGTTCTTGTTTTCACCGCGAAAAACTTAGTCACTGAACATATCCTTGATTTCACTGTGAGTTTCTCTTGGATTCGTTTTTACTGTGCTGTGTTTGATATGATTCCTGGGCGAGGTAAGACTTTTTCAAATCCCTAATACTGTGGAAACTACTTTCTGCGATTTATCTATATATTTTGTTGCTACTGTGCTGGATATGATTCCTGGGCGAGGTAAGACTTTTTCAAATCCCTAATACTGTGGAAACTACTTTCTGCGATTTATCTATATATTATATTTCA